CCCCCCCCAAGCATACCGTGACCCTCATGATCATACATGAACCCACCCACACACCCATCGACGTGACGTGTTGGATCACCCGCTAAATGTTCGTGTCGCTTTTTGGTTTTTAGACTGTTGTCTTCAGCTGATGTTTTGTTTGTTTTTAGACTTGTCTCCAGCTGATGTTTTGTTTGTCTTGAGACAGACTGTTGTATGCACCAGAAACTACTCACGAGCGGTGCTCAAACTCAAAGATACGTCATTCAGAAGTGACCAAGCACCATAGTTTTATTCCTACAAATATAGACAGCTTTCTTGGGGAGTGCTGTGTTGTGTCAATGAAAATTGTCACTCTAGGACAGTCTGCTACAGCTTTCTTCCTGGGTTTTGTTTGTTCAGTGACAAAGTTCAGACTTTTTTCTATTTCCTTCCATTGCATTTTTTTGTTGTTGGAAGAATTGACCCAAATGGGAAGAAGGTTTAGACAAATGAAGATGAATAATACCTAATGTTATTGTCACATCGTCCTAGTGCGAACTATACTCTACATAGATTCTCTTTCTTTGTTTTATCTTTACCCCCCAAAAAAATAATAGAAAACTCGGTTGCAAGACCATTTCAGGCGTTTTGTAAGTGGCATCGAGTGTGTGCGAGGCAAATTCCCCGTATTTGTGCTCGTGCTAGATGGAGTGTCCTTTTGGCAACTGCTCCCCCTAGATTTACACCTTAGAAACGTTGCTGTGTGCTGTGCCCCCCTCCCCATTGCCCCACCCCTCTCTTTGTACAAGTCTTAGTGCTGTTACTGCCTCGTTCTGACGATCTGAAGCTCCTTCAGTTTGCAGGCTGCGCAATGACCTACTTTTTCGTTTCCAATGGCTGACCAAAATGACTGTAACTGTAACCCCTACAAACCTACAACGCAAACACACCTCGATGCTTTGCCTCCCTTATGCACCCAGCACATAGCTGCCTATGCTCTTCACTGGCCTTGCAAGTTTACACGGCTCTATGAATGATATATATCTTAGACTATATATCTATATCTATGACATGAAATGCTGCTTACGGGAGGAGGGAAGGGGGCTGCGGATTGCTTACTCTTCTGCTCTAAGTCTAATCTTAATCCGAGGTATGGGTGTTCTGGTGTATAGACTTTTATAATCCCTCTCCTTACTCGAGTTTCTCCTATTTTATTTAATCTCCTAACAACCTAAATAGTAAAAGCCTTACTTCTCCATCTTTCCTCCTATGTCGTTGTTCTGTTTCCTGTGAGGTTCCTGATGTACAGATTCTGTAGTGAATCAGCTCTACTACTAGGAGAAAGATCTGACCTCTGGCCCATGGCTTCCTGCATGTGGACTGTGGAAGTGACGTGTGCCCTGGCATGGCGTGCGTCGTGATGTGGCGTGTGACATGTCTTGGTGTGTCGTGCGACATGTCGTGGTGTGGTGTGTCGTGACGTGGCATGGCATGTGACGTGTCTAGTGCTGTCACTGTCACTGCGCTGTGTCTGGTCTGAGGAGAGCAGTCTTGTGTTTCTTGTCGCCAGAGGCGGCAGTGTGTAGTGCACCACTATGCCGGTACGGTAAAGGTCTAGTTGAGGTCTCCGTTCAGAACACTTGATTGACCTACCACCAGGCACGTACGTGTCTGGCTAACGTGATGCTGAGCTCAAAAGACGATTGAACTTGAAGAGCATAGAGGTAAAACGACTGTAGCCACAAACTGGAATGACCAAAATTGTGTCGATAGTGCCGTAAAACATCTACCCAATTAAAAAAAACAACAACTGGAAATTGTGAGGGTGCCAATACTTGTGGACTCATACCTTCATATTTGTTTGACTGGTGGTTTACTGTTAAGTGTTGTTGAATGGGAAATCTAACAACAGTAATCAACCAACAGTTGACCAGAAATACAGTTATGAGTCTACAAGTGTTCAAAATTGGTACCCTCACCTCTTTCAGTTTGTGACTATAGTCGTCCACCCCCCCCCCCCCTGTAATCTTCACTTATTTAAGGAAGGCAGACCTTGGCCAGACCTTTACCCCACTATGTAGGAGGTGCTTCCTCAAGGCTGTGCAGACATTTGGAAAGAAAACGAAAGATGTGGAGTATGATGATGCTTTGTGTGGTCCAGTTAGGGCGACAGTTAAGAGTTTTGGAGCAGTTCCGCTGTGCAGGAGTCCCCTCAGTTGTGTGGATGGCCACATGCCTGTGGGTGTGGTCTTGTGGTCTTGTCTGTTGGCGACAGTTGTTGTTGTAGTTGTCTTGGTGGCTCTTCTTTTTCAGCTGAGTTGTCTCCCTGGCTCCCTGGCTCCCTGGCTCCCTGTCCAGGGTTTGTTTGTGTTTGGTGAATGTAGAGCAGTCTCTCTCTCTCTCTCTCTCTCTCTCTCTCTCTCTCTCTCTCTCTCT